GAAGGTTTTCCCAAGATCTGGCGAGATTCGGACGAATTTGTTCTGCGAAGGGGTCACCTGCCAGATATACTGGAATTGGTCGTTGTTTAGCGTCCAAAAGTTGTTGAACACGTGAATCTCTACGTTTCTTCTCATCCTTCAATCGCTATTTAAAAAACAAAAACAATCAAATTGAAATATTCAGATTTGATTAAGTAGATGCTTTCATGGCTTACCTCATGAACCTTGCGTTGACCGTCGTAGTCCTGAGTAGTGCGGGAGGTCGATCTACCACGAAGATCTTTCTGAACTTGAGCGAATTGAGTGTCCGCCCAATTTTTGAGCATTTCCATTTCATCCGCTAGTGAGTACCAACCAACCAATTCATCATTTCTTTGCACTTCAGCGTCCAGATCGTGCAACTGTTTCATGGGTCTGCAATATCCAAATTCACAATCAGAACGACCTTATGTAATGTTAAGACACTTTGATTAATTTTATCGCCATGTTTCAAACCCCATTCCATGGTATCTCGGCGAGTTTACCAACTCTCCTAATTTCTATAACTACTCCACTTTCGCTAAAAGTACATCCGTACTCACATTAGTCCCTGCAGAAGTGATTGTCACAAACTGCCTATTTATAAGCAAATACACATAGAAGGACCTGCTTGTCATTCGTCTTCTTATAAGCTTCACCACCCACCCTTCAATCCTTCATTTACGCAGATCTTCGCGTAATACATTTTGAAACGGCTGTTTAGCAGAGTTGGCTACTAACTAAAGATCCTATAAGTCGGCAACTCTTTAATTAGAGAGCTCAGTTCCTGTTGTTGTTCTAGTTCCAACAAACTGTTTAACATCATTTCCATTACAACCATCAAGACACTTACCGTTCTCTTTCTTTTCCCAATTGAGCGACTAATGTAGGAGTTAGTGCACCCGCCCGCTTGGCTTTCTCTTCAAGCGCGTTCAACTTTGCCAGATCGTCTGCCAACTTTTGCCTGCGTCTCTACAAAGAGAAAGTGGGAGCAAATCAATTACTCATTTTCGACAAAGTCCACCCCCTCCCCCTCCATACCAATAATTAATTATAACTAACCTTGGAATCATTTAGGGCATCCACGGCCTCGATGTAGGTACGAGGTATTGTGAGGGGCTGATTTTCTTCCTCCTCGGTAAATTCTTTGGGAATAGCGGACTGCTGAGTTGTTGCAAGAGATGCTTTAATGAGCTGATTAGCATCACTATTAAATTGTGCCGCAATTTCAGCCTTGGAAAGGTCAGCACTTTTAGAAACGATTGCTCCTTGAAGGTCTGCTAATTTTCTATCGATATCTTCAATACGCTTCTGTGGACTTGGGAAGTTTATCGCGTCAGAACAACTGGGTAAATGATCAGAACGATATCTCCAATCCTCAAGAGCCTGAAATCAAATTGGACGCAATTATGGGGTGATGCAGAAGCTGCTTTATTATACCTCAAGAAAAATACTTACCTTTTCATTTGCTGTCAACTCTGCATCGATGTCCTCCAGTTTCTTTAAGCGACCACGAATTTGACGCAAGGCTTCCATGGGGTCGGTTCCAGTTATGCTCGTTGGAATATTATCCACAGCGACTCTCTTCTCATCCAACCACTCCTTCAAATCACTAGCATCGTCATGGAAATTAGCATGAGTTTTGACTCTTTCAACTTCGTCTTCTCTCGACTCCGCTCTTTTCATAACTCCACTTGCGACATCTCGAACGGACTTGCATTTAATCATCAGTGGTTCATTGAGTTCCCTGAAAGTGAAACGGCTTCATCTGATATATATTAGCAATATGTTGGAGTCCTTCTTATTAAATTAACGGCCAAATTCAATGTCATTTATCTCTGAATGTTACATTTAGTTAAGAAGCCTACTCAGCGAAACTTGACCAGACTCCGCCTCCCATTTACCATTATAGCTATTTTCTCGTGGTTGCATTTTGTTTATATGCAATTAGCGCGGTTGTGCATATTTTTCAAATACAGCATGTTTTCTTCTCCCAAAATGAAAATGTTTAAAGAACTCACTTGGGGAATTTCGTGCCCTCTATGCGTTCTTCATTAACAGCTATTGAAGTGATATTCTTCAGCAATTCAATCTTTATCTGATCAATTCGGCGTTTTTCCCTCTCCACATCTGTCAGAGAAGCCTGTGAATGGAAGAGGTCATCGTTAATATCAAAATTTTACGTATTTCCCTAACAAGAAGTGTCACATACCAGAGGTTCTGTCATCTGCAAACGAGTATCCTGTTCGCGTATGTTGCCTTCGATTGCATCCAATGCAACAGCGAAAGCCTAGAAAAAAAAGCCGAGAAAATTAAACACAGCTTGCATTTGCAATAGAATTTACATCCATCTTATTGGGATTGCAAATTTGTCAGCCATTAGCAAAACGCTTGAAATGAATGACGCTGCAAGATAAATATTATGTGGCATAATGAAATATGGAGAAAGGAATCGCGTCTTATCCTCTTCAATGATTTACTAACATTGCCATGAGAACACAGAGAATGAAAAGGTTGTAAACCCACAAGAGTGGATCACCAATAGTCACCAGTTGAAATTGACGTTCTTACCTGACAAGAATTCTGTCCAAGTCAAAAGCAATAGAGCAAAATTACGAGTGCATTAAATTTAAACGCAAAGCTGAAACACATTTCACACCCGTTTGCTATTATTTAAAATACCATGAGAATGTACTCGTGTATTTTCCCATTTACCTATTTTGAGTTTCGAGAACAAAGGCGTTATAAGCAAGGTTTTCCAGTTAGGCTCAAAGCTATTTGCAAATTTATTTTCTTCAATTATTGCACATACCTGGGATTTGATGCTATTCACAAGGTCATCCCTCTTGCCTTCAAGATCACGCTTAAGTTTCTCATTATTCAGTGCCAATTGATCTGCCTTTTTCCGAAGATTTTCCTTGGAAGAAACACCCTCTGGAAGTCGTTTAACTTGTTCACATAATTCCGCAGAGCTGATAAGGAATAGCATTTTCAACTTAGACGCTTGAACAATTTAAGCTCGATATACCACACGATTCAGGTAAATCCACTTACTCGGCGTCGTAGATATTCAAATCATCATCGATATCATCTGCCCTTCGAAGCCTTTCCTTCAAAACATCACTTGGAAGGAGGTTTTGGAATACTGTTTTATTGGCAGTAATTTCACCACAAGGTACCAATAAACTAATCTGTTCTTCTGCATCATTCAATTTGACCTCTAAATCGGCCATTTTCTCTCTGAAATCCATATCTGCCACTGCAGTTGCATACGCCTCCTCACGACGTTTCAGAAGTTCCTTAAAAATAAGCCAAAATATTTAGACTTTACTAGATGCTACTTGCATTTGTTAGTAGACATTCTAGCTCACTTGAAGTTTGAACCAAGATTTATCAATCCCTTGCAGACGTGATTTAACTGAAGCAGCATCGCTTGGATGATTCTGTACCACACTTTAAAATTGAGGAATAAACTTTAAACAACGCTGAAAGAGTATTATAAATTAAAAAAGCGTATTGATAGGCACCTATTTCCTGTAGATCTCAGGCGAGATAACTTTTCATTCAATGACGGCTTCTCAATCTTGATTGCTCTAACTTTTCGCAGAAGGTCATTACTGGCCTCTTTATTAGGTGCCGTAGAAGGCATGGCCTCTAATTGGATGATCCGATCTTCCAGAAGAGTCTCCATTGTGTCTGCCAATTTATCGAACTGACGCAAACTGAAAGGAGGGAATTGGGAAAAAAATAACCAACAGCCATCAATTTATTGATTCAATGAATCTTATTTATGAATTGGTATTGTCAATTTACCTTCCAGAACCTGCTAGAATAGATTCCAGAGATGATCTTCGTTTGTTCAGTTCAACCCATCTATTAAAATCAAATATATATATATATATTCATGGCTTATATTTCTCCCAACTGAAGTTGAATGTTTACAATGAGTGAAAGCTTACTGGTTTTGAATCTCATTCATTCGTTTCAGGGCAAGTTTTTTGTAGAACAAATCTCTAAATGGTCAAATTCATGTTGTATAAGTCGTACAAGTTTTCTAATAAAAATTACGATCACTTACCCACTACCGCGCTTGTAAAGGGATCTTTCAGATGGTCTCACATTTCCAGACAAAATTCCTGCTAATTCGGTTATCTCAGCAAGAAGTGGGGCTCCTTTTGAGATCTCCTCAATTGTAGCCTAGAATTAAGTTGAAGTGAGTTTCATTTCAACAATCTAACTGCGTATTGTAGAGAGCATTTATAATTGGAACTTGCTTCAACATGCATGCCTTCAGGGCCATGATTCTTCATGTTTCTACTGTCACGTTGTAACTGATCAGTCTAAAGCCAAGAAAAACTATGATAGTTAACCGTTAATTGACTGAAATAATTACTGATTAATTACTACCTTCTGGGCCATCCAAGCATCGAAGTTATTGCATTTCATTGCAAAGTCGTGCCATGCCAAAGTGTCCTGAAGACAGTTGTCTCTCGCCTACAACGAAAAAAACGCGATTAGATAGTCGACTTTATAGAAGGTCTCTACTTAAAAGTCATTTCAGTAGCATACCCTGACACATTTCTGAAGCTGATCGAACTCCTGCATGACTCGTTGCTCACACTTGAAAATGTTCTCCTTATCGAAGTGCAGTTGACTGCTGGTTCGTGCTGAAAGTGGTTACAGTCATACCAAATTTTATAAAACGCATATTTAGAGGAAGTAAGTGGATACTTACCAGACGGAGTCCTACGAATGCTCAATCCACGAGTGGCTTCTCGCTTTACAACCTTAAGAGCCTCAGCATTGGAACTTTTCTTTCTGACAACAGGAGCAACAAGGAGCTTCAAACGATTAGCAGGAACAAATCCCTCATTTCGTTGGCCTCTGACGTTCCTTCTCACATGCCACCAATCAGCATTAGTGCAAGCTATCAACGCGACCATCTATATTAAGAACCGAAATAAGCCCAAGAGTAAGCCAACTCACCTCTCCCTTCTCTAAATCAATATCTCTTCCAGCCGGATCCTTAGCAATATAACGAGCAATGGCTTGTGCACGACCTTCAATAGTCGTTGAAGGGCCACCTGCAATCTGGCTACCATTTGCTTTAAATTCATTGTCACTGTCAATGTCTGAGCTCTCGTCATCTTTATTTTGAGCAATACGTTCAGGTCTTATCTAAAATGTGCAGCAATGATAAGCATGTATTAGTGAAAGGTGTCAAACCGAAGAGACGGTTAAACCTCTGCTTACCAGACTACTTTCAGTGGGTTTTCGCAGTAGCGTTGAGTAGTATTTAAGACGCTGAAGGTCATTGGATTGGAAAGCATTCATTTCTGTCTGAAGATTTGTTAGACGCCTTTTTTGCGCCTGTACAGAGGCACAATTAATTAAGATTATGCATTAAGACGGACAACGAACCACGAGTATTCATTCAATATGGTTCAAAACTAACTAACCATTGTTGAGCTTGAGTCCATTCCACACAGTTTTAAAGCCTTATCTAATTCCTGATCTCCTTCAACGGGATGCCTTAAAATTCCAGCTGATTCCACAAGGTGAATTTTTTCTTGAATCCATCTGGAAGCTTCATCAGCATCGGCGTAGAATTGAGCAGACTCCAGACACTCATTCAGAGCATCTTGACGGGCTTTCATCTCCTGTTGAAGATGATTCCATGCGGAAGTAACACCTGCCACTTGAGAGCGGATAGATTTGAGCGTATCGGCAAGTGAGCTTTCGTCGATACTTCCATTTGCTGATCGAGTGGAAATGAACTGCTCCGCCGTGCGTTTCAAGTCCTCCCAGAGAGCTTCGTGAGCGTTCACTTCACTTTCCATTGCCTGTAATCATTTAAACAATATGGAAATTTGTTAACAAAAAATTTAAAGCACAATCAAGATTGCTTATCGGGCTCTTCCTATTAAAATTTAACGAGTTTATACAATGTTTCTTGATATTATTCCTCAAACATGCGTACTTTTAATAGGTGTTATTAATGTATTGATCTAAGTAAATCGTCAGTTGTAATAATAATTCCATCTTCCACAATTCAAGAACAAAACAAGAAATGAAATAACGAGGTCACCTCTTCCTTGTTTTAAATATTAAAGGTCAAGAAGTATACTCGCGATGCGAACAGCTGAACGTGAATTTTAGGAAACCAATCCATCTATCTACTAGGGTGCCCGGAGCAGTTTAATGATATTTAAACAATTGATTTTATTGGTAAGCAATTCGATGAAATCTTACTTGATGCTTCTTGCAACTTCGCTGAGCTAGCTTCAAATCGCGAGCATTTTGAGGATCTTTCGTCAGAGAGACAGTGGAGCTCAAGTAATCGATTTTAGCCTCAACCCAATTGAGTTCGTTCGTCAAACTAGCAGAGAGATTGTAACTTGAGTTGATGGAGTCAAGTCTAGACTTTCGTCCGCGACTTTGTTCTGAAACTCGATTCCAGAGTTGAAGCGCAGTCTGACATTTCTTGAAGTCGGAAGCTTTTTCAATTTCTAAAAGTGGTATAAGTTTTAACATTGCCAATACTCTTGCATAATTTATACAAGTAATCCGATTTCAGTATCGATCGTGCGGAATGTGCAATTTGATTTATTTGAAATGATTTCAGTAATGCAATTCCAATAGAACCATGAGTTAACTTACCAAAAATAGGAGCCATTTCTAAAGTCGAACGTCATTTAAATAAATAAATAAATAAGCTTGTAGCATTAGCATAGGGTTACATCAACACTCTATTGTTAAGCCGTACACAATCACTTTTTCAATTGGACTAATTAAAAACGAAAGTTCAAACAAACGCAGATGAATGTAACTTTTCACAATTCTCACCCAGTTCTCCTCTATCCGAAAGCCCACAAAAAAACCTATGAAATAAAGTTTAGATGGACAGAGTGGTCTTATCTGTAAATTTTATCTGCACATTCGCATTGGGTCAAAGATTGAAATTAACTATTTGATTGATAACTGCCATGATCGCACCTTTGATAAAAGCTTTCATATAAATAGGCAAACCATTATATTCTACTTGGAAGCAAACTTTTCCGTTACACAGAATTTATTAGAGTATCCAAAATTTTATAAGAAACTTTGTTTAACTAGAGCAAACAAAGTATGATTATACATGCATGCTTCCGATATTTACGGCATTTTAAAACCAATTCAGCATAGACCTAAGTTTGATCTCGGGTGTAGAAATTATATTGCTTTAGAAGGGGTGTGCGATAGACTTACCTCCACGTGGTACACCCTGGGCAACGTATACTCATACGGCAAAATCTATTTGTGCGCCCTGGGCAACGTATACTCATATGGCAAAAAAGTCTATTACCTACACCCTGGGCAACGTATACTCATACGGCAAAAAAGTCTATTGAACCCCAGTTGACTTCTGACTTCAAACTCCCATCAACCCACCCTATGTCATATTCTACCACTTCCACAGTACTCATCCTACCTTTTCTCGGCCTTTGTGTCTGTCTCTTTTACATCTGTAAATCACTACTCTATTCCCCACACCTCGACTTCCTGCTCTTTTGATGTTCCTTCCCCCTGTGAAGACCGAAGTCAGCTAAAGGACTAATGATAACTATCAAAACGCCTGCCATTTGAAATAAATAAATATTTCATTAGAAGGTTTTTAAATTACAAAAAATATGTTACCTTCATTGAGCATGGGCGGAGCATCCATCCACATCTTTTCAATACTATTACGAGTTTGCAGAAATTTCCTCTCCAAAGGCAAGAATTCCGCTTCCGCCAAACGATGTCTATCCAACGCGGCTTGAATCACTTCCAGGGACAATGTCTTTTCACCATTCTTCTTGGCTTCAATTTCACCCTTTGTTGGATGTGTCAGCTGTGTCTTTAAAATAAATTGAGAAGAAGAATAAAATTATTTTAAACAAATAGCATTGCTATTGTTGTCCACTATCTTACTTTAGTGCATAATCAATGCACATTACCACTTTGAATAGTTGTTTTAAAACTGTGTAAAGAGCTCCACTTATTTAAATAGTCACCATTTTATGATATGATGGGGGAGGTGGGGTGTGCGAGAGACTTACCTCCACGTGGTGCACCCTGTGTAACATATACTCTTACGGTAAAATGTCAGTTAACCGACAGTTGCCTTCTGAATTCAAACTACCATGACCCCACTGCATGTCGTATTCCCCCACTTCCACACCTTACCCTTCTCTCCACTTTTGTGTCTGTCTGTCTTTTTGTTTCATCTGTGATTCATTTTTCCAACCCCCCCCCCTCTCGACTTTCTCTCACTTTGATGGTCCTCTTCCTCTCTGTGAAGCCTGAAGTCAACTAAATGGCTAATGATAATTATCAAAATGCCGGCAATTTGGAATAAATAAATAAATGATATGATGGGTCCGAAGGAAAAGCTTTAAGAGACTGATGGCACAGAATTATTGATCACTGAGTTCCTGCTCTAGAAGCTGTCAAAGCCACACAACTATTAATTCACAAGCAAGCCAAAAAATCTCTTCCATTATCCTAGTCCATTTAGACAGACATATTTCCATATTAATTGAGCCGTCATTTAGATCAATAGATTATTCTCCCTATTCCTTCGTAGGTATGAGAGCCCTGTAAAAAGTCTTGATCAACAAGATTAAGAGAATGAAATGAATGTTTTTAACCTACTTCAAGTTCTTTAATTTTTTTCGTCATTACTTCCAGTTGTTGCAACAAGTCAGCTCGAGTCTGAGGAAACGCAAGACGAGCTAAAAGAGCGCGCATTTTGGGTCCGCTAAGATTGGACCAGCGATTTTGAATTTTCCCATTGAGTTGTAGGACCCCAGTGCCCTGTCGATACTCTCTATACCTGCCGATTTCTGTAGCCAAATTGTCCAGTTCTTTGAAACGTTTTTCTTTGCTTTCAATTTCCATTCTAAGGGCTTCAGCCTTTCTTGCTGAACCAATTTGAGTTCCTGGTGCCTTTTGGAGGCTTTCGGAAAGATCCTCCATTTCCGTCAACCAATCCTCGCGAAGACTCGCCTTGTGCTCGAACTTGCGAACTATTTTGTCGTATTTTTCAAGCCTTATAAGGGTAAAACACGATATCAAGCAATTAATGCATATGTAACAGAAACTTTGTAAATTTTTCAAAATTGTTGAATCGGACTAGTTGTAAAATTTCCACAAAACTGAACGAATCCCAGTTTAGTTACAGTCATTGTTATGAGAAGAGTTTGTCCATATTTTCAGATCATGTTCCCTATAACCTATCTCATGCTAATATGCTTAGCATTTATCGATCAAAGGAACCATAAACCAATTTGAACTTACACTAGCGTTGTACCTACTTATATAATTCAGTAGCATCATTTCTATCCCTCTGTATACTTAATTTGTAAAGTCGAGTAGATGTGGAATAGGAATCAAACGGCAAATAATTTACAATGACGTCTTATATATTTGAACTGGCATTAAAAGATAAGAAAAATTATCTATATAAGGTGAAAATACATATATTTTTTGAAAATCATCTTGCATTCAACTTGTGCGTGGTGAAACACTGAAAAACTCGATTTTTGATTATTTTATTTCCAAATTTAAATACTATTTTCGGATGAAAAACGATAACTCAAGTACCATCTCCATGAAAATGAAATTGTAAAACGCAAAACTTCACATTTTCACATTAGAACTAAATTAACCTAACTGGATTAAAGCAGAAATTTTTCAGACACTTTCGAAATAAGACGTTCTTAATTAGATTAAATTGCTTGCATCGAAGTAAATCTGATCATTAAAGCCTAAAATGAATTCACTGAGAACTGCCTGATTTATGCAAATTAGAAAGCGCGTTTTATCCATCACAAGAAGCCTCACTTTTTCGGGCAAAAAAGCGCTATTTCGCGTTATGTAAAAATACTACTTAAAAAGTTGGAGATCGGAATAAAGACGGCACGGGATGACAATGTGACCGGAGCTGGTAGACGTTCCTGACGAAGAGGGTAAAGTTGTGACTTATTTGAATTTAACAGACATTAGCAATCAAGCGAGTGGTATTTAATAGACTAACTCCTAGAGAAAAGTTGCTTCGACAGAGAAGAGGGGGGGGGGGGACGAAATTCCTCGAATTGTGCCTGTGCGTCATCAATCTGGAGCGATGAAAAGTAATGCAACTTCAACAACACGATATTGGCCGAATTCAGGGACATGGGTGAGTGAAAAGAGATACCAGCATATTTTCCATAGATTTTTGCTTTGTCATTTGCGTTGATTACTCGCAAAATGCATTTCTTTGCAACCAACTTTGAAGCTGCCAGAATTCACTCACTTTTAGAGGTCAAACGTTGACTACAAACTGACTTCCGAAAGGCCGAAAGACCACCTCAACTCAGAAGATCAGATAGGCGCCCCCTTTTTCACATCTTGAAGATGAATTTAACCACTTTAATTTTGGATTAATCATTCATTTATTTAAAGAATGGAAACCGGTTTACTGAATACTAGCATAATCTCTATCTAAGCTTAAACTGAATGTAATTTTCTTAGATATTTTTACACTAGGAAATATCATGGAATTCCACCTGCAAGTTGTGCGAATTCAGGCTAGCCAGAATACAAAGCACACTTGATCATTGTAATGCACCATTCAGCCCAATGGACGCGCACTTGTGGATATTGAATTAATGACCTTTCCAACATGACAGACGGACTCTATTAGCATTGCGCTATCAGAGAACTTAAGAAAGTACGATCAAGAATTACACCTCATGAAATTTAAATGAAGTGCGAATTTAAATTGAATGTTAAACTATTTCTACTATATGGGTAAGTTGACGAGGATGAGATGAAACATTTCCAAACATTGTAATGTGAAAGGTACAATGAGTTGGGAGAAAGCACAGATGTTCTACAGAGCTTCTCATCTATTAATTGTATATCTCTCTTAGTTCAAATCAAAAATAACCTTTCCCAATCGCACTTAAATTCACACATTTCTACTTACAAATGCCAATTCTAAATTTGAGCCCACTTTTAAACCCTTTTAAATAAGTACATTAATGAAAAATTCAAACAAAAGGTGTCCGATGTTGATTGATTTATTTTAGTTAAACACACACACTCACACACACTCACTGTTGAATCTACAATGTATCACGTGAATCATTAAATTAAATTATGTGGGGCGAGTTGAATATATGAAGAAGTTTCAATATATTATTAAAGCGGTACATTATCAACCGCGTCGAAGGTGCCCACTAGACATCCCATTCAAAAGTTATCTCACCTCAAACCGATCCAATAGGTCGATTTTAACGCACAAAAAAATAAAACAATTCATTATCCATCTCATTAACTACCGTGTGGGAAATGATATTCACATTGTAGTAAATTAAGCCAATTGCGTGTGGCTTTCAGTAGGGTCACTCATAGAAATAATATAATCACGTTTTACTACAAGAGCTGGGAGCACTATTTACATCTTCTCGTCTCTTGTGATTTGAAATAGTCTATCAATCACGCATAATGCATAACTGTGTAAACATCCAAATTAAGCACAAAAAAATTTAATATACACGAATGGTACTAACTAGAAATTATCATTAATTTGTGAATGCTTCCCTATCTCTGGCTAACATTTTTAAATACTCCTTCATAGTTGCTTGTCATTTGTTTTAATTTGGTTAAGGAAAATGTGAAAAGTAAATTGGTAAGTTTGTCTTTGTCATTCACCAATGACGTAACATAGATCGTAAAGTGGATTTTTGCTATTACCTCTCTGGTTAAATATTTGTGAAATAACTATTTCTGAAAACTGCTCAGTATTGTCTAAAAAGTTTCTCAACTGTCTTATGGGGTGGCTATTGTAGCGTTTCAGAGTTAAGTAGTTCTGTAGTGGATTATGGAGACTTCAGAAAATTTATTTGGAGCTTAATACTTTGAGAAGGCTAACTTGAAGCTCACTACAGACTCAAACTCATCAATTCCTACACATCTACGGGTATGCTCAAACGTAACAGGTAATACTAATTAAAACAAAAATAATAAGATCAATGTGCCTCGACTCATGACTTCTGAACTTATTTTCTGGTAAAGTGGGGTGTGAGGTAGACTTACCTCCATGTGGTGCATCCTGGACAGCGTATAGACATACGGCAAAAATGTCCATTAACCAACAGTTGACATCTCACTTCAAACTATCATGACCCTACTGTATGTCATATTCGACGCCTTCACAGTACTCATCTTACCTTTTCTCTGCCTTTATGCCTGCCTGACTCTTTCACATCTGTGAATCACTCTTCTATTCCTAAACCCTCGACTTTCTGTTTATTAGATGTACCTTCCCCCTCTGTGAAGCCTGAAGTCAACTAAAGGCCGTATGATAACTATCAAAGCGCCTGGCGTTTGAAATAAATAAGTAAATAAATTTTCTGGTAAAGTGCAGACAATATTTTGTGCTCGTTAGAGCAAGGGGCACAAGAGTGGTGTTCAGTGGTGAGCATCACTAGGTAATCCTTTGACATTTCTCCCTCAAAACAGGCTTGATAACCCGTATTTTACGCAAAAACAATATTGCGTGAGGGAATGTTACGTAAAAGCGTTGTGTGGTGAGAATTAAGTTAATTTCACAACATTCCGTCAAATTGACTGTCAATATAGTAATTGAGAACCTGGAATTCTGGGTCTAAGTAAATCATGTGAAATTTACTTCAGTCGATTTAGTCTGAATACCAGAAATGTATGAAACAAAAAAAACCTACCGGAGATAGGCGTTTCTGATAGCTTCTTCGTAGTCATGCTCTGTGTGTTCCAGAGTTTGCCAAGCACTACTAATCGCAGCTAATTTGAGTTGAGGATTCGTTGGCACATAGGCTTTTGCGTGAAGCTCTTTGGTCAGAAGATTGATTGTAAAGAGCGCTTCCTCCAGCTTTGTCCTCTCCTCGTATCTTGAAGGGAAACAGGATCACATTTGAATGACTACAATACCACTTCATGGGAGTACTCTGTCTTTCATCAACCTTACAAATTACCTTATTGAGCCTCAAGTACATTCTTACGTGTTCTTCTTTTTACTAGGATAAACAATCTAAACAATCCGCGGAAACCTAATGGAGTGAACTTCAAAACGAAAAGTTCTTATTCTGGTTGGTTGGGTCAGATAGATTGGCCGCTCCAGGGTGAGCTTCGAGCCAATCCATAATTCAGCCCACAAGTTGAATGCCACCGGAAGTGTTGGCCAGCGACAAGCGCTGTTACCGAAAGTTGATATAAGAACGAAAGTACAGCAGTTCGACCATAAATATGCACCGATCACTTAAACGACCTGGTGTAATGAGTTAAAATGCCGATATTGATCGACTAACTCTTTCGATAAACAGAAAATATATGAAAGGTGTTTTGTGTTAGCAATATAAAGGCATGTTTTTTCTAAACCTATGTTTTGCATAAGGATGAAAATTTTAGAAATATTGATTAATGTATTGATTTTTTTTCCACTACTAAGAGAATACACAGCATTTATAGATAAACATGAGAAATGAAATTGATTCATGGAAACAATCTACATTGCTAATTGTACGGAGCTTATATCTATTGACAATGGTACAGTCTTTGTAGACAGAACTCATCACATTATGGAACTTTAATCAATAAAGAATTCACGTATTGAATGGAAATTTGAATTCCACCTCTACTTCCACTGACTACTCAATTGATTTGTGAGAACAATGCTCTAGGTGAAATTGTAGATAACTTTTCAATTTCAATGTTTGTCACATGAATGTCGCATCCTAAGTACCTCCTCTTAAGTAGGTATCGCCATTTCATGGGAGTTTCATCACATGGCAATAAGTTCGTGAAAGAATTCTCCTTGTAGTCGATCTGCGTGTTGATAACGTGTGCCCCCAGCTTAGAGACACACTTCTGCGGGGACGTATAGGCGCTGGAGATAAAAGGCTTCGAAAATGCCTAATTCTGGTAGAAGGACGATAACATACAGTAGTTCTTAAAGCGAAACTCAATTTCTGCCACCTCTCTTGTTGACTAGACCTAATCCACACCCCCGGATGCGCATGGATGGGTAGAGATCTTGTGACCCTTGACTAGGCAGACGCGCATTTTGACAACAACAGCGCCACTGGGACACTTGACTCCCTACTGTGTTATTGATTACTCTTATTTTATTGCAAATTTTTGTTCACTTCTATGAATTCAATTTACCTACTGCTTAATCAATGCACAAAGGCACCTGTATCCATTTGTTTCTGTAATTTAAGCATACCTATTGCCAGAACTAAATAAAAATGAATAATAATGAGACAGAGACTAATGCGCAGATCGATATGCCTACTTCGCAAGCATCGTGTGGAACTCCATCATAACGCCTACTGGAAAATTTAATATAGAATATTTAGCATTAGCTAAAGTGAGAAATTCAAAATAAGGAACAAGTGGAAGGTACGAAAAATTGAGCATATCACTGCAATAATATCAAGTGACCACTAACCAAACCTTCGATAAGCCAATTAAATGACGCTAATTTCCCCTGAGAGGTGTGAAATGGACTTACCTCCACGTGATACACCTGAGCAACGTATTCTCATACGGCAAAAAGTCCATAAACCCTTTTTTCACTTCTGACCTCAAACTATCACGACCCAACTGTATGTCGTATTCGGCCACTCTCACAGTGCTCACTTTACCTTTTTCTCTACCTTTGTGTCTGTCGGCTCTTTGACGTCTGTGAATCACTCTTCTGTTCCAACGCTCTTCACTTTTTGTGATTCTGCCTGTTCCTCCCCTCTGTGAAGACCGAAGTCAACTAAAGAACTATTGATATCTGTCATAAAGCCTACCCATCCACCGATACTCCGTCTTGCAACTACTATCCCTGAACTCAAAAGCGTTTCTTATTATGCCCATAAATGTAAAGTCGTATTGGATTGCCTTATTTTTTTCGAAATAAATTATGCAACTTAACTAATTCTTTTTACTTATCACAAATTCTCTTCCTTATTGATTTAAAACGGCTCTGCTCAGTATCCGACACAGGCATAGAAATACGAGAGACCGACTGTTAAAACGGACTCATCGATTAACCATTGAAAATGTCTCACCTTTATATGATTAAAAGCCCTACTTAATGCGCCTCTTATAAAACACCAATTGTGCAAAGACCCCTATCAATTGCCACCCTTCACCTAGAAAAGCTACTTTTTTAGTTGACGTTTCTTAAAACAATGCACTCTGTCTTTAACTATTTCTTTCGCTTATTTTACTGCCTTTCAAAGGCACGAATCTAATAGAGACAAAGTGTGTGACGTCGTTCTCGTGAAATTACATCTTAAAACTGGCATCACTGTTAGTTATTTGGTTGGTAGGAGTTGGAATATTTCTTTTTTTAAATTATTTCCATGTTAACGCTCGAAGCATTACAAAAAACAATTATAGGCGAATTCCCTGATTTTGTAAATGACATTCATAAGTCCTAACTGTGACATACAATTAAAGAAGGCAGTTCTGCAACCAATGAAAAAGGACACAAATAGCCATAAACTCAGTGAAATTCGATAACCACCTCAGGCCTGGAAGTGCGAAAAGTTCCTGAGTAAGCGATTATTTCATCTATCTTGACTTCGGCGTCATGCGCCCCTAGGGTGTGCCAAGACTCGGTACATGTTTTACCCTATTGTTTTAAAACTGCTGAGAACGTGCAAAACTAAGTTATGTGAAATTTCATCTTTCTAGCTGCACTCAAAAATGGAGAGATTCAAAAGATAATAAGGGGTGTTCATGAGTTTTTGTGCTTCAAGCAGGGGTCATAGCTCGGGTAGAGGGAAGGTACCCTGGAACTGGCATTAAGAAAAGTGTTGCACTTATCAAATCGGAAGTAGAATGTAGAAGCTGAGTCCATATTAAGTAGTTGATGAAACAAGCCAGCTGCTCCAACAAAGAAGGAAGCGACGAGTTGTGTGTCATGAAGCGGATTCGATAAAGTAGGAGGGGGAGATAAAGAGAGACGAGGTGGATCGGTGATGTGATTTGATGTGATGAAAAGGAAAATTACGAGTGACAAGAGCATACTTGCGTGCATGTATGTGAGTGCAACTTCAAGCATCCACTTGAGCAAGGAGTGGCATGGGATGAAACGGACCAGTTATGGAAATAAATGAGGAGAATCACTAAACTTATCTAGATATGACTCATAGGAGCATAAGCATAGCACCACATCTTCGTGATGAAAGGCAAAGCAGTATCGTAGAGAATGCAATTAATAACAATGTTTAACAATCTTTCATCTCTGATGGCCTCTAATAACGTCAATAAGTTTGCAGAACTGAAAACTGATTAACTTCCTAAGTTGCTTTCCACTAATTGACCACTCTGTGACCTTGAGAATCGAGGAGGTATCATGGCTCCATTCAGGAGAAAGTACACGTACTTCAACACAGTTGAATTTAATTTTTAAAAAAAATTAAATGAACAACAAACAAATGGCTGCAAAATGCTAATACCGTTCCATTGATAGGCAAATAGAATCCATAGATGAATGCCCGAATTCGTAGACTGTGATCGATCATCGATCATCATCAGAGACTAAAAGAAATCTCCACTTTTCAAGAAAGAATCCCCCAAAATTTCCCACTGCATTTGCTCACTTATTACTTGTCAAATTCTATCATCCAATGTGCTGAATATTTGGAGAGGAAAATAATTCCTCATCATGCAACAATATGACTCACTTTTTGGATTTTTCAACCCGTCGGTATTGAGTGAAATTTGACAGAGCTTTGGTGACTTCATCCAGACTGGTGGGAAGACTATTGGTAGATTGACGGAAAAATGCGCTCTTGGTTCGTATCCATTGTAACAGATCTCTGATTCCAACCTCGTAAGCATTTATCTTGCTGCTCAAATCAATAGCTTGATTGATAGTCTGTGAGAAGAAATTCGACAATCCTGTTAGTTGAAGTTAGAAATCAGTCATAATAGAAGGTGGCTTCAAGTAGTTAAATTTTAGAATTTAAAAAAATGGGAATGAAATTGTGAGATATCTAGGGGTTAGTGACTAAACACGGAAGCAACCGATTGTTAGTAATTAGCATTGAATTTTTTGGAGCCAAAGGTGAATGCGAACTCCATTCCTTCCAGTATATCAATTCAGACAACCTTCAGATGATTGCCCAACTCCTAAATCATTTTGTGATCCGTTCTTATTTTTCAATCTCCATCACTGCTTAAATCTTGTCTGAGAGTAGAATTTGGATGTGTCATAAACACCTTTGAACTTTCCTTTATAATAATGGAGGTCCTGTTTCAAGAGGACAATAGGCTTTGGTAGGCAAAATGTTCAACCTTTGGTTGGAATTCACCAAACAAGTGTTTAGACATGATAAGACCTTGAAATTCCTGCGAATATCACCCACTTAACATAAGAATTTCCAGCCTACGAATTAAGCCTTGTCAACAAATTCTTGAAAGATCACTGCTCAGACACGCACATTAGGTGCACCTCACTTACATTCTGACTTAATAACTTCTCTACTGAAGCCGACAAAAAATCTTTAAACCCATAAGACTAAGTTTGGAATTCTTGGTCTTGTTTGAAGTACAATTATAGCTCACTTTGGATGACCTCCAGGAAGCTCAATAAGGCAACTTCTGATGATCAAAATTAAAGCAATGGAAATTCGAGACATAAAAGTCTCAATGTTATTTATCTTCTCCTTTTGTGACTATCGAAGGTGACCCAAAGGCGAAAAGTATCTTCTCAATTTTTTCCAATGGACGGATGGCACTTATGGTGGATCGATTTTAAACCAAATCACCAATAAGAGGGAAGGAGCTGAGTTAAAAAATTTTTGTATAAAATTAATTTTAATTATACCACTTCCCCTCCCCCCCCCCACCGGATGTAACCCTAAGTTAAAGGAGACTTTGAAACTGAGACTCGCTTAGGCTCAAATACTGCCCCGCTAAACAAAGAGGCTTTAAAAAATTGTATTCACTCTGTAGGGGGTGTAATTTAAGCCCTAGAATTCAAGTCACCTTTGCAATGGCAAATTGTTACCACCTCATGTAATATAAGAACGACCTTAAAATCTCTCTACGTAACGCATTTTCAAGGATGAACTGGAGGGGGGGGGGGGGTAGGCGGGACGGGGTCCCAAAAGTTTAAGATTTTCAATTTTGTCTCTCCCGTTCTTATATTAACTGTAAATGGCAGTCGAAAGCACATAAATGAGAGAATAATTGTTCGGCGTGGAGAGCAATAAATGAGAACTATTAACAAATTCTAATAACCAACTTGTTTGAAAGTTATTTCCAACCACTGAAATCTAAATAAATTGGCAAATAAAGACTCCAATCGTCTAACCCCACTCTGCCACTGCCGAACCCCC